TCAGGGCCCCTCGCCTCCACCTCGCCCATCGGGAGAGCGACCTCGGGAGCATTTGGATCTCCGGACGCGCGGGACGTGGGGGCGCAGGCCGAGCACGACCGGCAGCCTCTGCGCGCCTGCTCATCTGCATACGCCACGCCCTTGTCGTGACGTCCCCGGCCCTGTCGCCCACTCGAATCCGCCCGTGTCTCGCGGGCGGGGCGGGCGCAGGTGGGCGCGCGGGGACCAGTCCGGAACCTCGGGGCGGGGGGTTGGGGGGGGAACCTCCCCCCCGAGAGGACCGGATCTCGCCGCGCCCGGCGCCCAGCAGTTAGGCCCCACCAAGAGGGGGTGGGTCAGGGCTCGGGGTTGGTCTCACCATCGTTTCAGCGAAAATGACACGCGCAGAGTGTCAACTCAACGTTAAATACGTTGATCAGAGTTTCGACATCAATTTAATATGAAACTTGTTTTAATTCTCATTCATGATCTTTCAGATTATGAAAGTAACCTAATCTTGCAACAGTGAAAGGAAAACTTGAACTGAGAATGTTGGCAAGGCGTGTCGGTTCACGCGGTAGACGTGCGGGCTGCGAAGGGCCGAGGCATCGGCTCTGAAAATCAAACGAACAGCAACGTCACATTTCCGTCCTGGGGGAGGTTCGGGGGCCTCTTTCAGGTTGCCCGGTTGGTCTTTTTCACTTCCATACAAGAAAAGTCTCCAGATCGAGCGGAGGTTAAAGGTACATCGTCCCCAGGTGTGAGCAAAATGATTCAACGACGGTGTTTTCGTGGGTGGTCGGTGCTGCGGAGCAAAGCAAGGCAACAGACAGGACTAGAGATTACAGGGTCAGGGAAGGCTCACCTGAGGTCCTCGCTGCGGGAAAGATCCGGGGAAGCGTATTGTAGCATCCTTTTGGATTAGTGGTTGTTTTCAGGAAGTTTCCTTCCTTAGTGTGTAGTTCCTAAAAACAAAGGATCCTTTTACCCAACCCCAGTACAATGATCAAAATCAAGACATTAACATTGAGGGCGGGCCCAGTGGCGCCGTTGGTTGGGAGTTGGCTTGGGACGCCAGCCAGCTCTGAGCAGCAGGGCTGCAGTTGGGATCCCACAGGAGGGCCAGTGACGGCTGCGCCCTCTACAGCTAAGATGGTGAACAACAGCTCGGACCTGGACCTGGAGCTGGGCTGCAGTGGGCGTGAGCTGCCCTGAGCTGCTGAGTGCCGAGAGCGGCTGTCCAATGGCCGGCGCGCCACTGCCTCACCCGGGAAGAGCGCAGTGATAATGCCAAGGTGGGCAACATCCTCCACAACTAGACTGAAGAACAAAAAGGACAGCAACTTGTCTGTTCCCCTTCCCGGGTTCCCCAAGGCTATCTTAAAAAAAAAAAAAAAAGAAATTAACATTGATACAACATTATTTACTCTACAGACTGTTATTCAATGTCCATCAATTGTCCCAATGATATCCTTTATACCAAAGGAAAATTTAAAACCACGTGTTGCATTCAGTT